ATATCTTACACATCGAGGACTCAGGTGGATGAAGGGGTTAGTTGTGGGTTATGAGTTTACCCTGATGTTAGAAAGTTCCAGACTAGTTTCACTTATCTAAGAGAAGGATTGCTCATCATCACTATGTACTAGTTCCAGATACGTTCACTAGTGCTTAAGCAACTAATCTCGCTATTGCTCTTCTGGAAAGTTTGTTTTCGAGTTTCAGAAGATTTCTTTCACATTAGTGGGGGAATGTTGGTAATGCTCAATCCCATATAGTATTGGAAACACTATTGGGAATGGTATTTAAGGCTTGGCTTTCCCACTTCCTTGTTGAGCGATAGAGAACAAGGGGGACTCTCGCGCACTGCCGCCGCCGTCATTCGTCTCGTCTCATCTCGGCACAGCTCAGCTCGGCTCGTGGTCGTGGTCGTGGTCGTGGTAATACGTGTCTTCGACACGTCCGTGCGGATACTATCTTTTTAGAGAAAATTATTGAGGAATTTCTCTTTGAAAGAAACAAATGGAAAATGTGAAAGATTTCAACTGATATTTATAAGCTGTTGAGGACTGTTTAAATTTCAAATGATAACAACTGATTTATCAGAAATTAAACAGCTTTTTCCTAAATTAAATCAAAAACGTTAAGATGTATCTGGACTGATTTCCAGCTTTGTACAGAGGAGACAAGTTGTTAATATCATGAGTTACAGGAGTTATTTGATTTAATTCCAGGGGTTACATGATATAATTTCAGGAGTTATAATAGCTGAATAATGATGCAATGAATCTGGACTATTTTTTAGTCATGTTCATCTAGACGTTTCAGCTGTTACAAAAGAAGAGATTTAATCCTGAAATTTTATGGACGATATTGGCCCTATTTCTAGCTTATAAATAGAGAGCTATATTCAGCTTCTCAACTCACTCTCAAACATTCATAATTCACTTACAAAAGTGTTTTCTACAATTCTCTCTGTGAATTCTCTCTGAGTGCTTTCCAATCAGAAGAGCAATACCACCAGCTGTCCACTCCGGTTTCGGGTGTACGGAATTCGGAGCGACTGTGTTAACCTCGGGGGACGGTTCGCCTACTGCAGCATTATACACATCGGGGCGAATTCGTTTCTAAGGCAGTGGTTTTTACCACGACACGATTTACGAATTTGTTCCTTTTAATTACTGTTTATATTTCCAGTCAGTGCTAACGGTGTAGTTTTGCAGTTCATATATCCAACAACTTTGTCGATAATATATACGCTCAAAGGCAGTACTGACGTCCCATGTTGGAATCACAGTTTCCGATTCTGAGTGCATGATGGATAATGTTATCAACAATCATGCCAAAATCAAGAGATGTTGGGTCGACTGGAAATCTCCTTAAGATGTCGGTAAAGATTTGATAGCTATCTTTAGACACATATTGTTTTGTACTTGCTCTAGATTAATAAAAGAAACAACTACTCATTTTTTAAATAAATTGATTAATTTAATTTTATTAAACTGATTAAATATTTAACTTTGATTTTAATTTTAAAACTAAAATATTAAACTTTGATTAAATATAATGTGCAAGAAGATAATTTTATGTTTAGTTAATTTATATTTTTTTATTAACTAAATTACACGTTTATTACCTCAATTATTATTTTATTTCATTTCGATCGCTCGACTACTATTTTTTTAAATTATACCTAACGTTACGTTTTGATTTCATTTTGTTCCTCCATCGTTAAAAATTAACGGTGATACTGATATATCACCATAAGATAATGGCATGTCATCATTGATTTTTTTTTAAAATATTACATTGTCGGAACCGTCTTTCGATTGGGCCATAGAATTGGGCTTCACTTAGGAAAATGGGTTAGGAGTCGCCACCGATCATTTATTTTATAAAAAATGGGTTGATCATATACCTTATTTCTTACCTGGTCTGCGGCTTTCCAAAGATGTGTCGGGTTCGGAGTCGGTTACGGTTAAGGAATGATTAGCACCCTTGAACCGCCCTTTGGTACCAATTAATTTGTTGGCTGTCTTAGTTGCAAAAATTAAAATTAAAATTAAAATTTAAAACATCGATTTGAATAATTACCTTTGATCGATTGAAATTACTACAAAAAGAAAAAATATGTTAGATGAAATAAAATAAAAATGAATATTAAAGAGAAAGGGACAATGTTAAATAAAAACATAAAAATAGAATTTAAAAAAACATAAATAAATTAAGGAGAAAAATGAATAAAAAATATTAAAAGTAAGGAAGAAAATAAGAAATAAGAACATAAAAAAATAATTTTAAAAAATAGAAATGAAATAGAATGTAAAAAAAGGTTTGGGGACTGAATAATAGTTTAACCCACTGCCAAATAGTGACTAAAACAGAAGATGCATAAGTTACAGGGTCGAATCTGAAACCATCAAACACAGTATATAAATTAGTGACCATAATGAAAATATCAAAAAAGAAAGGCCGAAATTAGGATATCTGAAAGCTGCATTAATATCTAAATAGAAGGATTACAAGATAAGGAGGACTAAATCTGGCATTTCCCTTTTTTTTTAAAAACACGGCTGGATAAGGGGTCAAAACGACGCCGTTTAAGTTTTGTGATTTAAAACCCCAAAATGGAGCTTTTCTCTCAATTTCCATCATTTTTCAATTTTCCTCATCTCTCTACAAGAAAATGTTCTCGCCTCTCTCTAGTCACTCCTCACCTGAGCGCCGCCAGCCACCAGCCGCTGAGCCACCGCCACTTTGGCTGCCGCTAAACTCATCAAATCACTCCCCTTGTCACCCTGAGGCACTACCCAACCCAAAATCACCCAAAATTGCTCCCTTTGGCATAGATCTAAGGGCGAAGTTCAGGCTTTTACCTTTGTTCGCGAAAAATCGCTCGTTTATCCGATCTCGTTGACTCTCGATGGCTTTTCGTGGCTTTATGGTTGACGTTTTGTTTCTTAGTGTTGTTGCATGTAGGTTTTGCTCATTGTTGTGTGTTCTTTTGGTCTCAGTGTACGCTTGGCTGGTGGTTTGGTGATTTTCCCTTGTGTGTTTCTCGGTTTAATATCGTGTTTTTGTGGCTTGTTGGTTTTTCTGTGGTCGTTGTTTTCGTTCTTGGTTTACTGTGATGTTCGATGATGTTCTGTTGGTGTGTACTGTTGTTAGCTGATGATTCCGTTTGGGTTCTCTGTTGATCTTTTTTTGCTCATTGTTGGTTTGAACTCTCGGTTTTCTGTTGATACTATTTTTTGTCCCCCTTCTGCATGGCCTCACCGAGGCTTTTATAGATCGATTCTGGTCATTTCTTAGCCCCGAAATGGTTGGGGTTGTGGCCATTGGGTTGACCGAGAACCCCGGGATGGTTCAGTCCCAGGGATTTCGGCCGGAGGTTCTACTGGCCGTTTGGCACATAACCATCACGTGCGCGATATGTTCCTCTTACTGTACAGCGCTGTTTGAACGATATCATTTTAGGGTTTCCAAACCCTAAACCTTACAAGGCTAGATCAGGCCCCAAACCCACTGGACAACTATTAGAACCTCTGGACCTGAAATAAAATGGAAAAAATGATAAATTAAAACGTAAAATAAAAATAAATGGAATAATAATGAATTTATTATAATATTTTTAAAAAACTATACAATATATATTTTCCAAAAAAATTATTTTTTAAAATTATATAATTTCAAAAGCATTTTCAAACTATATATTATATATGTTTAAAAATGTTTTTCAAAATATATATGTTTTTCAAAAAAATATATTTTTAAAAAAAAACTATATAGCATATATATGTTTTCAAAAAATGGTTTTTTCAAAAATTATATATTATATATATTTTCAAAATATTTTTAAAACTATATATGTTTTCAAAAATATTTTTTAAAAAACTATATATGATATATTTTCAAAATGATTTTCTAAAATAAAATATATTATATAATTTTCAAAAATGTTTTAAAAACTATATATTATATAATTTTCAAAAATGTTTTAAAAACTATATAATATATATTTTTTCAAAAATGTTTTAAAAAAACTATATATTATATACGTATTTTCCAAAAATCATTTGCAAACTATATAATATATAGATATATATGTAAAAAATGTGGAAGAAAACAACAATTTTATTAGTTTTTTAACGATGGGTTATCAAAATAAAATCAAAACATAGCGTTAGATATCATATGATTATGAAAAATGAATAACAATTGAGTAACCAAAATGAAACAAAAGTGATAATCAAGACACTAAATGTATAGTTTACCTATCGTTTAATAAATTCTTAGGTCAACTACGCTTTTAGTAACAAACTATCAACTTTGGTCTATTTTAGTACTGGACTTTTATTCTTTTTCAAAATCATACCTAACGTTTAGTTTTTGTTTCATTTTAGTTTGTCGCCGTTAAAAATTTAACGGATAGACTGATGCCATAGCTCTGGGACATGGACGAACAACCAATTCGAACAGTGAACTAAGAGAGAATGACGAGTTAACCAACATAGTCCAATTTCAAGCCCATCGGACGGTGGACCATGAAGATTGGATAAAGAAATCGAAGAATTCATCGTCGATTTGGGGAGATTCAAGCATTTTTTGGTGAACGGAGGCCATAATCACGTTCAGGGGTCGAAAAAGGTGTAGAATGGAAAGTTTGGGTTTCATTGGTCGAAGGATGCACGACCGATGAATGTAGACGCGACGACCGAAGAGCCCACCCAAGTTTTTAAAGGTGGGTTACTAAAATAAAACAAAAACTAAACATTATGCATGATTTTGAAAAAAATAAAAATCAAGTACTAGAACTGATCAACGCCAATAGTTTAAGTACAAAATGCATATTTTACCCTAAATTCTTTTCTAACGAATAAATTTCAGAAAATATTCAAATCACCGTCTACCGGACTCGAACTGTGAACAACCGGTAGTTGAGTTCAACAGCAACTGTTGCGACAGTTACAATCTTCCGAACTCTTCTAGTCTTGTTTCTTTCTCCCTTATAAACGCTTTCTTATTCCCATGGCCATCAATTCATTAACAATGGCATTTTCAAAGCTTTCCCTTTTCTTCGCATTGCTCCTTCTTTCCTTTCTCTTCCTCAACTCCTTCGTCTCCTGTGACACTGGTAAGTGGTAACCTTTCTTTCCTCTTTTTCATCTCTGGATCTGAAATCTTGGGTTTATCTCATATCTGTGTAATTTTTTTGATTTTTTTTTTTTCTTGTTTATATGATTATTGAATGTTGATGTTTTTGGGTTTCTTAGACTTGACACATCCATAGATATGAACCCAGTTTAGACTTCAACTGGATCCATCTTGTTGAGTTTTTTAAATCTGATTTTGCAAATTATTAACATAAATGCAATTGAAGAGTCTTTGAAGTTTCAACTTCATAGATCCTTTTACTTGTGGATAGTACAGTTGATCAACCTTTAATTCCATATGTATTGTTCTTGATAAAAATTTATGGCAATCCGATCTCCCAATAATTAGTTGATCCGGCCATGCTAAATTTTACGAGAATAATCGGGGATTTAAATTACGGTTAAGGTTGTGTTTAGAGATTAGGATGTATTTATTATGATTGCAGATATAATTAATGCTAACACGGTCAATGCGGTTGTGGCGGTGTGGATTTTTTTATAAATTCACATTACTTTTTATAAAACATAATAATTTTGATTGCCGCTCAGATTTTTGGACTTTTTTTAATTTTACCGTAATGAAAAAGAACGAGAATAGGTATGAAAAAGAACGAGAATAGGGTATGTTATAGTCTTAAAATTTTATAAATTAGTCCTTAGCAGAAACTCTTACTTCGTTACTACTATCTGACCGCTATTTAAATTCCCAAGTTTAATACTATTTGGCATCTTTGGTTTGTTGAGAAGATCATGCATAACTACGTTTCCAACATTTACTCCCGGAGCTCTGGTTGTCTCCATGGAAATTTTAAAATTTTATATAATTTAAGTGTTTTCTTTATATTTTTATTGATGATATATTTTAGTCCTAAAATTTTATAAATTAGTCCTTAGCAGAAACTCTTACTTCCATACTGGTTGTATTGATTAAGAAGTGTTCTTTTCTGTCTGATATCCTAAGTTTACTGGTGAGGTTTTGGCTTTTGTATGGATTAATTGGTTCTACTTTTGAGTAACTTCATGAGTAGAAAGTATGGTATCTTTCTTACATTTAGTTCACTAATTCACCTACATAGTATGGATAATAATAATAAGCTTATTTTTCCAGAAAATTTTCTGCCATGCTGCTATGATTTTCATTTTGTTTCAAGATAGGAAGAAACTGATCTTCATTGCATTTTTGATTCATACCCGAAGTAGGATTTTATTCGATCATTCGAATTCGAATTGTGCATTCAAACAATATTTGTTCACTGGATTTCATATTGACCATCCACAGATGAGGAGGCTAATCTTCTTAAAGGCATAAACAATTACAGGGCTTCATTGAACTTGACCAATCTGAAGAAAAATGACAATGCTGAGTGCCTTGCCGATGAACTAGCGGATCAATTCAAGAACCAACCTTGCACAAACTCCACCGGTGCCAACACCATTCCCGGTACCGAACCGCAGTTCGCCAACTACCCGAACCTGTTGGCCAAATGCCACTTGAATGTCTCCAACACAAGGGATGGAGCAGTAATGCCTGCTTGTGTTCCTAACCTGGTTCCAAATGTTGTGCTCAACAACTTTACACAATCTCAGTACTCTTCAAATCTCAATGACACCAAGTATGCGGGAGTCGGGATCGGTTCCGACGGGGACTGGATCGTTGTTGTTCTCACAACAGGCACACCCGACGGAAGCTACTCGCCGGCTACGGGTGCTGGTAGTTTGGTTTTCGAGATCGGTCTAGTTCATCATGTGCTGCTACTCCTGGTGGCTGGTTTTTACTTGTTGTAGGCACTGGTTTCTGGTTTACGGCACTGTTGATTCATTTGTTGAGGATGAGAAAAGGACCATACTCCATTGTTTTAAAAGATAGAAAAAACTATGAATCACCCCATATATACGCACCTCCTTTAGATGAATGAAATCAGTCCTTTTGTAGTTTGATGTTGTGATGTTGTCGTCTTGTTAAGGGGTAAATGAACTGAGTTTGAATGAACAAGGTTGTATTTATGTTCGTGTCCTTTTGTTTATTTTTAATGTGTTCGTGTTTAGTTTGTGTACGTGTTCATTTATTTATTTTTAAGGTGTTCGTGAACATATTTGTTTAACGTTCACTAACATGATCGGTTCATTAGCCAACATATTTGTTTGACATCTGCAAACATGTTCCTTTATGTATTTAGAAAAATTATGAAATTACATCACTAGTTCTCAAGCTCCTAAAGCTTCACATCCTGACTCCAAAGTTCACTTTGTGTTCAATTTAATCCTACCTTCTTTAATATTTAAAATGTAAAAAATAAACGGAAATGAGAATCGGGTATACGAGCTTATAAATGAGTTGATAAATGAGCTTATACACAAGCCGATAAACGAGTTTTCAAACTAGTTTGTTTGTGAATATAAACGAACCAATCACATCTCTGTTCGTATTTATTCGTTTATAAGTGATCATAAATTTTTTATTCACACTCGTTTATTTAACTTAATAAACAAACGTTATACGAATAGTTTTTAAATAATTCATCGAAGGTTATGTCCATTTACCTCTTCATTCTACCGTCAATTCAGAAAGGATTTGACTACACTTCATCGTATTTTTCTTGTACAACTCACTTTTTACTTGCATGTTGTTGCCGTTGTCAAATGTTTGTCTTGTCACTATAGTTATGGAAATGTATTTTTTCCGTTTTCCATCTCCATACTAGAAATCAAAGAGACTTGTTCAGATAGGTGAAGCTGAAAAGAAAATATAATGTTGGAAACGCTAGCAACTGGTGGGAAACTGTTTCATTCTACAATGAAATCTAGCAGTCAATTCTCAGTTAAGTTTGTTGATTAAATCTTAATGTTTTTTTACAAATAATAAATGGAGGAAAGCTCTCACAATTAATTGAAGGGTAGGTACATAAATTTTACTTGATTATAGAGTATTATTTTGTTGAGTCCTTGTATTATTAAAAGTTACAGAATAGTCATTCGACTATTCATATGTTTCAAACTTATACTTTTCTGTTGACAAATTGACATATTCTGAAATTGACATTAACTTGCTGACTGATATGGTAAAATTTGATCTTAAAATATCAAACGATTATCATACATTGATCAACAAATTACATCTAACATCCAACTCAGACTGTCACTCCACGACCCTTTTTTTCCCTTCGAAACTCAAAGATTGAGATCCACATTCGTCCCTCCCTTTTCTAGAGCCTGAGTTTTTTCTGGGTAAACTATATATTTAGTACTTAATCTTTTACTTTTATTTTGTTATGATATCCAATTTTTTTTTTCAAAATCATACCTGACTTTTAGTTTAGGTTTCAATTTAGTATCCCGTCATTAAAAAATTAACAAAATTGCGTACATGATTTTTTTTTATTTTTTCAATGATGATGTGGCATTACCTTATGGTGACATGTCAGCGTCACTTTTAAGTTTTTAACGATAGGTATCAAAATAAAATCTAAACTAAATGTTAGGTATGATTTAAAAAAATAAAGTTTAGGTACCAAAACAAAATATAAATAATAGCTTAAATACTAAACAGGTTATTTATCATTTTTTTCATTTAAAGGTTACATTAAATGCAAAATAAGTTTAAGAGACGCATTATTTTTTCCCCCAAAAAAATTAAAACCTATGCTTATTTACTAATTTTTAAAATATACATGTGTTAAAGTACTCTTTTTAATGAATCAATTTACCCAAATAGAGAGCTAAAAATTATTTGATCTAAATTACTTAAATAATTAATTATAATTTTAATATTTTACACTAAAACATTAATTTTTTTTAAAATGCACAAAAGTTATAATATCTATTTTTATTATAAAATTATTAAAATAAACTTTAAATATACTACAATCAGACGGTTAAAGATCTGTGTTAGTTAATACTGTTGACAAAGGATGCTTTGGCAAAGGGTGATTCTTTTGATAACTTGGATCATATCTTTCTTGCTTCCCCACCGACTTGGACCACTAGACTCTAGTAGGAAGATATGATGGTGACAGATCATGTTGTTAGTTAATACCGTTGGTTGGATTGTTCTTGTAGCTTGGTCCTTTGTTAGCTTTGTAGATTAACATATGTAGTATTTTCCTCCATCTAGGTTAGGGAGGCTTTTACTTAGGCATGCATTAATCTTTCTCTTGTATGGTTACCTTACTAATAAAATCATACCTTTCACCGAAAAATATACTACAATTAGTAAAAATTATGTTTTTTAAACAAATAGGGTAAACTACGCATTTAGTATCTAAACTGTCAATTTTGTATGTTTTAGTACATAAATTTTTAATTTTTTTTCAAAATCATACCTAACGATTAGTTTTTGTTTCATTTTAGTACACCGCTATTAAAAACTTAACGGATGAGCTGTTGGGGCACAATTTTGGTGGACGAATGACCAATCTAAAGGGTGGATCACGAGAGAATGACAAGTTGACAAACATAATCTAGTTTCAGGCCTATTGGATGGTTGACGAAGGAGATCGGAGGATGAAGTCGAAGAGTCCATAGTCGATTTAGGAGATTACACATTTTTCGGTGTAACGAATGTCTAAATCACGTTCAGGGGGTCGAAAAGGTATGGGCAGAAAGTTCTGTAACGCCCTGATTTCTGGGTTAATAGTTTTAGGTAAACTTGGGTGAGTTTTAATTTAGGCCAATGTACCATTTAGAAGTATTGGGCTAAAGATTGACTTATTATGATTTCGGCTTAAGCCCATCAAAGCTTTTAGAGGATCTTTTTAAATTGATCTTGAAAGGAGGATGAGTAGAAGAGCAATTAACCCCTCAAAAGTTTTAAAGGCTGAAAACATTTATGTTTGGTGAGGTCACCCTGGGAAGAAACAAGGAAAAGTTATGAGTGATCTTATTTTCACCTCACTATTGTCTTGCTCCTCCTTTTTTCCTTGGTGAGTTGAACAAATAAGCAAACCTTGTTGTCCTCCATTCCATGTCTAAGATTCTAGAGGTAAGTGTGGAAATCTTCATGCTCTAAGCTTCATATAAAAGCCTCAACCTTAAATTTTGGTCATGGTGGCCATAGTTGGGTTTATAATGGTTTTGGAATTTAGAACTCTTGGGTGTTCCAAATATGTCTCTGAAAGTCTAAATTCATGTTTCTACTCTTTTTAAGCCTTCAAATAAGTTAGTAATTCATTCATTTTCTTTTGACTAGTAAGAGAAGTAGGAGAAAGAACAAAAGTGAAAGGTAAAGAGAATGAGGTCCTTGGGTGAGCTTGAGGGTGTTCCTACAACTCCTAGGTGTAAGGTAACAACTCCTAACATTTTTTTACTGCTTGTAGATAAGCATGTGTAGTTTTGATGCATGTTTGGGTGTATGAGCAATTTGTGTGTACTTGGGGTGGTTTAAGCATGAAAAAAAAAGAATTTATTGTTATTCTTGTGTAAAGTAGAAGCCTTTCATGTTCCTTAAGTACTATATAATCTTTAAGCATCATTTGGAGGCCTTGGGGACACATTGAGAGGGTTTTAGAAGGCTTTAAATGAGTGAAATAGAGTTTTCTAGGCATATGGTATCGATACTATAAGAACAATACCGATAATGTCAGCTGTGTAAGGGTAAATTTCAAAAGGTCTGTAAGAAGAGTATCGATACCCCATCAAGGAGTATCGATACTGCGTAAGTGGTGTTGATACTTGGGGCCTAGTATCGATACTTGGGCCATGATCAGAAATATTGAAGCCAATTTTGGTATGGGTACTCATGGGAGTATTGATACCGATGGTAGATTATTGATACTCCCCATAGGGATATCGATACCGAGATATTTTTCAAAATATCAAAAAAATTTGGTATCGATACTCAAGGGAGTATCGATATATCGATACCGAAGAGGGAGAGTATCGTTACTCTCATTAGAGTATTACTAGTGAGATAATTTCTAGAACATCGAATACATTTTTTGTACAGATACTTAGGGAAGTATTGATACCACAAAAGGAATATTGATACCCAAAAAAGAGTATCGGTACCATCGTGACTATTTAGGCCATAAGCCTAGCTGAGGCTAGAGGGGCGAAACTAATAGGTTTAGTGCGGGAAACTTTCTAGTAAACTCACAAGTGGAATACCTTAATTGATTTTGTGATAACATAATATCTTAATGAGGTAAGATTCCATAAGACTTATGCGTTTGTATGATGCTTGGGAAACGATAAGGACTCCCAAGTTACTTATATGACGATTGTGTGGTAGATTGGGGAATATCTATATATATCCAAACCAATGTCAGTGCACTTAAAATGCTAGTTGGATGGAGTGTCGATGCTTAGTGACCCGACCATATCTCGAGTACTCTATAGGAGTAGACTAACTGAGTGAGTTTCGATGCTATGTAACCTGAAATCAGTTTGAGATTCAAGGGGACGCTGATGTTGTGTAACCCATATCTCTCCTAAGGTTCTTTAGCAAGAAAACTGGTGTGAGTTCGTAATTCTAAGTGACCCTGAGCTACCATGATGCTTACTTTGATTGTTGTATTAGTGTGTACAATTGTTCATTACCATACTTGCAACATGCTTATATGTTGAATGCATATAACATAGGGTTATTTATATGGCACTGAGCTTATGAGCTTAGCGTATAGAATGATTTTTCGTGTGCAGACCCTTAGGTGCCAACTTGAGGAGCACATCTCCAGATTCAAGATTTCTATACTTGATCTTTCATCAGAGTACGTCTCGAGTATTTAGTGGGCATGCATTGTCATAGAACCTTATTATTATTTGTGTCATAAACTCAATTTTGTACTTGTGTATTTTGGAGGCTAATGTTGGGAGCTCTCCCGTATTTATAAATATTGATATTTCGTAAATGTAGTATATTATGAGTATTTTATATTATGTTTCACTGTTATTTTGGTCAAATATTTAAAAAAATTGGTTAGCCACTTAGATGGTTCCGTGTAACACTATAATCTTCC